GCTGCTGCTGCTGCTGCACTGCTGCTGCTTGCTGCACCTGCTGCTGCTGCTGCTGCTGGCTGCTGCTGCACCTGCTGCTGCTGCACCTGCTGCTGCTGCACCTGCTGCTGATGCACCTGCTGCTGCTGCACCCTGCTGCTGCTGCTGCTGCACCTGCTGCTGCTGCACCTGCTGCTGCTGCTGCTGCACTTGCTGCTGCTGCTGCGCTGCACCTGCTGCTGCTGCTGCTGCTGCTGCCTGCTGCTGCTGCTGCTGCTGCACCTGCTGCTGCTGCACCTGCTGCTGCTGCACCTGCTGCTGCTGCTGCCACTGCTGCTGCTGCTGCTGCTGCTGCTGCTGCTGCTGCTGCTGCTGCACCTGCTGCTGCTGCTGCTGCTGCTGCTGCACCCTGCTGCTGCTGCTGCGACCTGCTGCTGCTGCTGCTGCTGCTGCTGCTACCTGCTGCACCTGCTGCTGCTGCTGCTGCCTGCTGCACCTGCTGCTGCTGCTGCACCTGCTGCTGCTGCTGCAACTGCTGCTGCTGCTGCTGCTGCTGCTGCACCTGCTGCTGCTGCTGCTGCTGCTGCTGCTGCTGCTGCTGCTGCACCTGCTGCTGCTGCTGCTGCTGCACCTGCTGCTGCTGCTGCACCTGCTGCTGCTGCTGCTGCACCTGCTGCTGCTGCTGCTGCTGCTGCACCTGCTGCACCTGCTGCTGCTGCTGCTGCTGCTGCTGCTGCTGCACCTGCTTATAGCATGTCTCAACACTCTTATACTAAGTTACCAATAACTTTGTCTTATTACATAGAATCACGCCTTGTTAGACTTCACTCTTGTTAGACTTACGTATTGTTAGATTTACGTATTGTTAGATTTACGTATTGTTAGATTTACGTCTTGTTAGGCTTCAGTCTTGTTAGACTTGAGTCTTGTTAGGTTTCAGTCTTCAGTCTTGTTAGATTTACGTCCTGTTAGACTTGTGTTAGTTAGAAGTGTGTCTTTGTTAGATTTATAGATGCCTCAGTGATCAAACTCATACATATCCCATATTCAGACCACTGTGTAAGCCTAGTCAGGTCACTGTGTAAGCCTAGTCAGGTCACTGTGTAAGACTAGTCAAGTCACTGTGTAAGACTAGTCAAGTCACTGTGTAAGCCTGATCAGGTCACTGTGTAAGCCTAGTCAGGTCACTGTGTAAGCCTAGTCAGGTCACTGTGTAAGCTTAGTCAGGTCACTGTGTAAGACTAGTCAAGTCACTGTGTAAGCCTAGTCAGGTCACTGTGTAAGCCTAGTCAGGTCACTGTGTAAGCCTAGTCAGGTCACTGTGTAAGCCTGGTCAGGTCACTGTGTAAGCCTAGTCAGGGCACTGTGTAAGCCTAGTCAGGTCACTGTGTAAGCCTAGTCAGGTCACTGTGTAGGCCTGGTCAGGTCACTGTGTAAGCCTAGTCAGGTCACTGTGTAAGCCTAGTCAGGTCACTGTGTAAGACTAGTCAAGTCACTGTGTAAGCCTGGTCAGGTCACTGTGTAAGCCTAGTCAGGGCACTGTGTAAGCCTAGTCAGGTCACTGTGTAAGCCTAGTCAGGTCACTGTGTAAGACTAGTCAAGTCACTGTGTAAGCCTGGTCAGGTCACTGTGTAAGCCTAGTCAGGGCACTGTGTAAGCCTAGTCAGGGCACTGTGTAAGCCTAGTCAGGTCACTGTGTAAGCCTAGTCAGGGCACTGTGTAAGCCTAGTCAGGTCACTGTGTAAGCCTAGTCAGGTCACTGTGTAAGCCTAGTCAGGTCACTGTGTAAGACTAGTCAGGTCACTGTGTAAGCCTAGTCAGGTCACTGTGTAAGCCTAGTCAGGTCACTGTGTAAGCCTAGTCAGGTCACTGTGTAAGACTAGTCAGGTCACTGTGTAAGCCTAGTCAGGTCACTGTGTAAGCCTAGTCAGGTCACTGTGTAAGCCTAGTCAGGTCACTGTGTAAGACTAGTCAGGTCACTGTGTAAGCCTAGTCAGGTCACTGTGTAAGCCTAGTCAGGTCACTGTGTAAGCCTAGTCAGGTCACTCTCAATACTCATAATGTTGTATCAGCCAAAATTTTTGCGATTTGTTAGACTCCCAGAAACACAAGAATGAACACTGTAGGAGGCCTACTGAACCATGCTAGGCATGTTCAACTCACACCTACTCACAAGAACACAATAATGAACACTGCAGTATGCCTTCTGAGCCATGCTAGGTAGGCCCAACTCACACCCCTCACTACTCATACTCCCGTGTCAATGGGGCATCATGGGAGTCAGGGACTATTTCAAAATACATTTTATTGACAGTAGGCAAAAATCTGGACAGAAAACTAAACCCTGAGGGGCACTAGAGCTGTCTGTTGTTACCAGCGATTTTATTTTATCTTGAGGATTTTAGATGTGTGTTGTGTATAGTGAGGTAGACTGGTGTATACTGAAGTAAACTGGTCTATACTGAGGTACACTGGTGTAGATCCGGCAAAGAATGGATGTCTAGGGCAACTGGCGTAAATTTCTGCCTAGACAGGTACTGCAAAGAACTTGCAGTCCCATTTATTGACAACTGGGACAAATTCTACGTTAAACATGATAAGTATGCAAGGGATGGGGTACATCTCTCTGGGGCAGAAGTGGTAGTGTTAGCCAACTCTGTCACGGGGGCTCTTATCGAGATGTCTAGGGCTTTAAATTGATAGATGATAGAGGCATGGGTGTGTATGGGAAACAAACAAGTTACAGTACGAGGGATGAAAGCGGCAAAAATTGCCAGGATACCTCAGGGATATGTTTAAAAGACATTGTTCACCATAAAGTTACTAATAAATGCAATGCAATTGGTCAACGAAGAGTCAGCAGAGAACAATGACTCGCTCTCTTAAAGTTTACTATACTAATAGTAGGAGTGTAAGATAGATGAGCTAAGATTAATTGCATATGAAGGAAGCATAGATATTACTGCTATAACAGAGACCTGGTTCAACCTGAAAGATAAGAGAAATGCTTTCTGACTGCCACATACAAGACTACAGATTATTCCACACTGACAGTCAACAGGAAGGGTGGTGGACTGGTGATGTATGTCACAGATAAGGTATAAAAGACTGGTGATGTATGTCAGAGATAAGGTATAAAAGACAAGGTATAAAATTAGAAGCGTCAGACACTGACTCTGTTTGGCTACAGTTTCTCGAGAGTCGTGAAAAATTAATCTTCGGTGTGATTTACAGGTCCCCAAACCTTGATAGGGAATGTAGTTAACTTCTATTTGATGAAATTCACGAGCTATTTGGATATGAAAATGTTGTGTTAATGGAAGATTTTAACTTTAGACAAACCGACTGGAGTAATTTGACAGGAAATCTTAAGTTTAGAAACTTTCTTCTTACGATTTAGAATTGTTTTTTAAAACACTTTGTGACAGAACCAACTAAAGGAAACGACCTGCTTGACTTGGTTCTTACCAACAAAGAATCACTAATAATCTTGAGGTTAATGATAAGCTTGGGGAAAGCAATCACAAATCACCTAGTTTCAATATATCATGGAATTATCTTAATAACTACAGTCAAGTTTCTGTCCCTGACTTCCGCTTGGCCAATTTCACAAGACTGTGAAATTACCTGGGTGGGTTGAACTGGTGTGACCTGACTATGGGTAAGGTAGGTGGCGATGGTTGCCGATATGACATTTTTCAGAGCATAGTTCTAGCTGCCCAGACAACTTATGTTACAAATAGGGATATTCGGTCAAACAAATATGACCCCTAAATGGATAACAATTTACATAAACGACATAAATGAGGGAATAAATAACGACATAAGCAAGTTTGCTGACAACAAAATAGGCTGTCGAATTAATTCTAATGAGGACAATAGAGTTCTCCAGGAAAATCTGAATAGACTGGTGCAGCGGTCGAAGAAATGGCAGATGCAGCTTAATGTAGACAAATGGAAAGTTTTAATCCTTGGAAAAGAAAATAACCATGACACTTATAAACTAAACAATGTAGATCTTAATATCTCTGACTGCGAAAAAGATTTAGGAGTTCTGGTTAGCAGTAATCTAAAACCAAGACAACAGTAAGTGTTAGCAATAAAGCAAATAGAATTCTTGGCTTCATATCAATAATTATAACTAACGGGAGTCCTCAGCTTATCCTTCAACTCTATATATCGTTGGTTAGGCCTCGTTTAGATTATGCTGCACAGTTCTGGTCACCGTGGTACAGAATCGACATAAATCTGCTGGAAAACGTACAAAGGAGGATGACAAAGTTGATCCCATGTATCAGAAATCTTTCCTACGAGGAGAGACTGAGGGCCGTGAATCTACACTCTTTAGAAAGGCGTAGAATTAAGGGGGATATGTTTGAGGTGTATCAATGGAAAACAGGAATAAATAAAGGGGATGTAAATAACATGCTAAAAATGTACAACCAAAATAGAGCTCACAGCAATGGTTTCAAGTTGGAAAAATTTAGATTAATGAAGGACACTGGAAAGTACTGGTTTGATAATAGTTGTGGGTAAGTGGAACAAACTCCCGAGTAACGTCATTGAAGCTAGGCAAATATATGAGTGGATGTATGTGGGTGTGAGTTGGACCAGACCAGCATGGGCCAGTAGTTCAGCGGTGTTCCTTCTCTCTTGTGTTCTCATACTGAGGTAGACCGATGTATACTGAGGTAGAATGGTGTATGCCGAGCAGAATGCTGTATAATGAGGTAGACTGATGAATAGGAACAGAGAGAGGAGAAGAGAAAGAAGATAGAGATGAGAGAGAAGAGAAAGATACATAGAGAGATGAGTGAGAGAGAGAGGAGAAAAAGATAGAGGGAGATGAAAGAGAGAAGAGAAAGATAGAGTTGAGAGAGAGAAAAAGAAGAAAGAGAAGAGAAAAGGAGAGAAAAAGAGAGAGACGACAAGAGAAAGACAGATAGAGAGGTAGAGAGAGCTAGCACACAGGTAGGCTAGACCAGCTGCTCTCAGTACGTTCTGGAGAGTGGAGGAGGGCGTGTGTGTTCACGTGCTGTGGGGGCGTGCAGAGGGCGTGTGAGTGTGCGTGGGCGTGTGTGGGTGGGCTGTGGGCGCCCACACAACCCCCACCCATACACTCAGACGCCCAATCCCTCAGGAAATAAGCACAAGAGCCCATCAGAGGCGCAGAAGAAACGAGCATCTGATCTCCTGCTTGTGTTTGTAACAGAGGAACATGTGAGTGAACTCACCGTTGAACATGTGAGTAAACTGACTCAGTGTTGAACATGTGAGTGAATTGACTTAATGCTGAACATGAGTAAACTGATTCAGTGTTGAACATGTGAGTGAACTGACTCAGTGTTGAACATGGGAGTGAAATGACTCACTGTTGAACATGAGTGAACTGATTCAGGGTTGAACATGTGAGTGAACTGACTCACTGTTGAACGCGTGAGAGTACTGACTCAGTGTTAAACATGCGAGTGAACTCAGTGAATAATTCTAGTATTGAACACGTTAGTGAACTGACTCAGTGAATAATTCCAGAGTTGAACATGTGAGTGAACTGACTCAGTGAATGATTCCAGAGTTGAACATGTGAGTGAACTGACTCAGTGAATAATTCCAGAGTTGAACATGTGAGTGAACTGACTCAGTGAATGATTCCAGAGTTGAACATGAAAGTGAACTGACTCAGTGAATTGTTGCAATGTTGAACATGTGAGTGAACTGACTCAGTGTTGAACATGTGAGTGAACTGACTCAGTGAATGATTCCAGAGTTGAACATGTGAGTGAACTGACTCAGTGAATGATTCCAGAGTTGAACATGTGAGTGAACTGACTCAGTGAATGATTCCAGTATTGAACATGTGAGAGAAATGAGTGTTGAACAGATGAGTGAACTGACTCAGTGTTGAACATGTGAGTGAACTGACTCAGTGAATGATTCCAATGTTGAACAAGTGAGTGAACTGATTCAGTGGACCATCCCAGTTTTGAACATGCGAATGAACTTAGTGACCGATCCTAGAATTGAACATGTGAGTGAACTGACTCATTGTTGAACATGTGAGTGAACTGACTCAGTGAATGATTGCAGTGTCAAATATGTAAGTGAACTGACTCATTGTTGAACATGTGAGTGAACTGACTCAGTGAACAATCCCAGCATTGAACATGTGAGAGAAATGAGTGTTGAACAGATGAGTGAACTGACTCAGTGTTGAACAGATGAGTGAACTGACTCAGTGTTGAACATATGAGTGAACTGACTCAGTGTTGAACAGATGAGTGAACTGACTCAGTGTTGAACATGTGAGTGAACTGACTCAGTGTTGAACATGTGAGTGAACTGACTCAGTGTTGAGCAGATGAGTGAACTGACTCAGTGTTGAACATATGAGTGAACTGACTCAGTGTTGAGCAGATGAGTGAACTGACTCAGTGTTGAACATATGAGTGAACTGACTCAGTGTTGAACATATGAGTGAACTGACTCAGTGTTGAACAGATGAGTGAACTGACTCAGTGAATGATTGTGTGTGTGTTTTTTTATGTGTGTGTGTTTTGTGTGTGTGTGTGTTTTGTGTGTGTGTGCGTGTGTGGTGTGTGTGTGTGTGTGTGTGTGTGTGTGTGTGTGTGTGTGTGTGTGTGTGTGTGTGTGTGTGTGTTTTGTGGTGTGTGTTTGTGTGTGTGTGTGTGTGTTTTGTGTGTGTGTGTGGTGTGTGTGTGTGTGTGTGTGTGTGTGTGTGTGTACTCACCTAGTTGTACTCACCTAGTTGAGGTTGCAGGGGTCGAGTCCAAGCTCCTGGCCCCGCCTCGTCACTGGTCGCTACTAGGTCACTCTCCCTGAACCATGAGCTTTATCGTACCTCTGCTTAAAGCTATGTATGGATCCTGCCTCCACTACATCGCTTCCCAAACTATTCCACTTACTGACTACTCTGTGGCTGAAGAAATATTTCCTAACATCCCTTTGATTCATCTGTGTCTTCAGCTTCCAACTGTGTCCCCTTGTTACTGTGTCCAATCTCTGGAACATCTTGTCTTTGTCCACCTTGTCAATTCCTCTCAGTATTTTGTATGTCGTTATCATGTCCCCCCTATCTCCCCTGTCCTCCAGTGTCGTCAGGTTGATTTCCCTTAACCTCTCCTCATAGGACATACCTCTTAACTCTGGGACTAGTCTTGTTGCAAACCTTTGCACTTTCTCTAGTTTCTTTACGTGCTTGGCTAGGTGTGGGTTCCAAACTGGTGCCGCATACTCCAATATGGGCCTAACGTACACGGTGTACAGGGTCCTGAAAGATTCCTTATTAAGATGTCGGAATGCTGTTCTGAGGTTTGCTAGGCGCCCATAAGCTGCAGCAGTTATTTGGTTGATGTGCGCTTCAGGAGATGTGCCTGGTGTTATACTCACCTCAAGATCTTTTTCCTTGAGTGATGTTTGTAGTCTCTGGCCCCCTAGACTGTACTCCGTCTGCGGTCTTCTTTGCCCTTCCCCAATCTTCATGACTTTGCACTTGGTGGGATTGAACTCCAGGACCCAGTTGCTGGACCAGGTCTGCAGCCTGTCCAGATCCCTTTGTATTTCCGCCTGGTCTTCGATCGAATGAACTCTTCTCATCAACTTCACGTCATCTGCAAACAGGGACACCTCGGAGTTTATTCCTTCCGTCATGTCGTTCACAAATACCAGAAACAGCACTGGTCCTAGGACTGACCCCTGTGGGACCCCGCTGGTCACAGGTGCCCACTCTGACACCTCGCCATGTACCATTACTCGCTGCTGTCTTCCTGACAAGTATTCCCTGATCCATTGCAGTGCCTTCCCTGTTATCCCTGCTTGGTCCTCCAGTTTTTGCACCAATCTCTTGTGTGGAACTGTGTCAAATGCCTTCTTGCAGTCCAAGAAAATGCAATCTACCCACCCCTCTCTCTCTTGTCTTACTGCTGTCACCATTTCACAGAACTCCAGTAGGTTTGTGACACAGGATTTCCCGTCCCTGAAACCATGTTGGCTGCTGTTGATGAGATCATTCCTTTCTAGATGTTCCACCATTCTTCTCCTGACAATCTTTTCCATGATTTTGCATGCTATACATGTCAGTGACACTGGTCTGTAGTTTAGTGCTTCATGTCTGTCTCCTTTTTTAAAGATTGGGACTACATTTGCTGTCTTCCATGCCTCAGGCAATCTCCCTGTTTCGATAGATGTATTGAATATTGTTGTTAGGGGTACACATAGCGCCTCTGCTCCCTCTCTCAGGACCCATGGAGAGATGTTATCTGGCCCCATTGCCTTTGAGGTATCTAGCTCACTCAGAAGCCTCTTCACTTCTTCCTCGGTTGTGTGTACCGTGTCCAGCACCTGGTGATGTGCCACACCTCTCCGTCCCTCTGGAGTCCCTTCTGTCTCCTCTGTGAACACTTCATACTTCATACTTCATCACGGTCATTTCTTGTTGTCTCTCCTCCTTCCTTACTTAGCCTGATTACCTGGTCCTTGACTGTTGTTTTCCTTCTGATATGGCTGTATAACAGCTTCGGGTCATCATCTTAGCCCTCCATGTATCTTGGCCCCCATGTGGCTCCAAGTTCTCCCAATCGATCTCCTTGTGGTTAAAGTCGCCCATGATCAGGAGCTTTGCCCTGCATGCATGAGCTCTTCTGGCCACTGCAGCCATTGTGTCAACCATCTCTCTATTGCTCTCATCATACTCTTGCCTTGGCCTCCTGCTGTTCTGTGGTGGGTTATACATCACTGCAATTACCACTTTGTGTGTGTGTGTGTGTGTTGTGTGTGTGTGTGTGAGGTGGTGTGTGTGTGTGTGTGTGTGTGTGTGTGTGTGTGTTGTGTTTTGTGCGTGTTTTGTGCGTGTGTTTTTGTGTGTGTGTGTGTGTGTGTGTGTGGTGTGTGTGTGTGGGGTGTGTGTGTGTGGTGTGTGTGGTGTTTTGTGTGTGTGTGTTTTGTGTGTGTGTTTTGTGTGTGTGTGTGTGTGTGTGTGTGTGTGTGTGTGTGTGTGTGTGTGTGTGTGTGTGTGTGTGTGTGTGTGTGGTGTGTGAGAGAGTATTCACCTACTTGTGGTTGCAGGTCGCTTCATAGCTCCTGGCCTCTGTCTCAATTTGCCAGATTCACTTTCTCCTAATCGTGCCTATTCTTAAAATTATGTATGAAGTCTGCTTCCAACACTTCCTCATTTAGATCATTCCACTTTTCGAGCACCCTGAGGCTGAAGAAATACTTTCTAACATCCCTGCACCTCATCTGTGTCTTTAACTTTCAACTGTGCCCCTCAGTACCTGTCTCTCGCCTCTCAAACAGCCTGACCCTATCTGCCCTATCAATTCCTCTGAGTATTGTGTATGTTGTTATCATGTCTCCCCTGATTCTACTGTCATTAAATGATGGTAGATTCAGTTCCTCTTGCCTCTCATCATTGATCATACACCTAAACTCTGGATATAGTCTTGTTTCATACCTGTACACTTTCTCCAGTTGCTTAAACCAGCTTCCTCAGGTGTGGGTTCCATACTGGTGCTCCGTACTCCAAGACGGACCTGACATATGTTATAAAAAGTGCCCAGGATGACTGCTGAGAATCCTGAATGCCACTCTTAGATTTACCAGACGAGCATTGCCTGCAGAAATTATGTTGACTTGAGTTGTTGGTAATATGCTAGTCAGTATGCTTACCCGCAGTTCCTTCTGAGTGAAGTCTGCAGCCTTTGTGTGTGAGTGTGTGAAAGGAGGAGATATGGTTAGATATAAGCAAATACTGAGAGAAATATGGACTAGGGAGAGTAAAGGTAAGAATGAGATGGTAGAGGATGTACGGGGTAGATTAAAGAATGTAGTGTTAGAGTGTTCAGCAGAAGTTTGTGGATACAGGAGGGCGGGTGCGGGAGGGAAGAAGAGTAATTGGTGGAATGTTGAGGTGAAGAGTGTGGTGATGGAGAAAAACTTAATATATGAGAGGTTTTTACAAAGTAGAAGTGACATGCGGAGGAAGGAATATATGGAGAGTAAAAGAGTGGATAAAGGAATGTAAACTAAGAGACGATGTCAATAAATTTTGCTGAAAATTAGAAAAAGCTTTGGAAAGGGATTAATAATTTGAGAAAGCCTAGGGAACGAATGGATTTGACAGATAAAAATTAGGAGAGGAGAGTTACTGGACTGAGAGTTGGAAATATTGGAAAAATGGAGGGAATAATTTGAGGAACTATTAAATGATGAAAATAGGGAAGTTGTGA